ATTTTTTATATCTCTTATATTCTTCCTTTGTATAGTCTTTTGAAGATGACCATTTCTTCATCATACTTATTATGAAAAGATCTTCTCCAAAGTCTTAAGACTTTGTCAGGTATGTTGATTTTACCTTACATCTCTTATATGTGTACTGATTGTGAGCTTGCTATGGAATTTTTAGATTTATTAGAGATTCTAACGATAATAAGATTTAATTGAATTTAAGTTGTACTGTGTTTCCTTTTATTCCTTTTCTGTGCTCTAATACGAATGGTGTATACTTTCTATAACAAAACATCGTCCAATTAAACACATTTCAATGTGTATGAATCGTTATAGTTGCTAAGGTATTTTCATTTTAATCATTCAAAAACACATGATTATGACTTCGATTACGTAATCAGTTTTAACCATGATTTCATAATTAAAATTATATAAATGAGTCTTCATGAGTATGGGGATACGATTGTTTAGAGTTTCAACAATCTTTTTATGATGATAAAAAATTTAATGAAAATTGATAAAAGTCAAATAACAAATCATGAAAATTATCATAGAGTATGCACAATTTGGAATTAAATGAATGCTCATTCTATATGTGATGTTTGTGTGAATGTAACATGAGCTAGATTTAAGACTAGAGAAACTGGGCGAACGAACTTCGAACTTTGAATCAATGCAACACAGGTGTTATTGAAGCTTCTTTTCCTCTTATTAATGTTTCAACAAATCTGCTTGTATCTTTTTTAGCTCTACCTGTAGACGCTTTTCTTAACTCCATTTGTTATCTTCTTGTTGAGCTCTGGGATGATAGTGTCTAAAGGTGTTGTGTGCAGAACATAGGTGTAGTTTCTAATGGTAGAAAATATGAGATTATGGGTTCAGGTTGAAGGGTTAGCGCGTGAGAAAAAGACAAACTTCTTCTTAACGTCTTCATTTATGATAGACTCCTCCTCAAGTTAGGTTGGACCAAAGCATGAGGATGAGATCATGAAGGTGAGGTTGGATGGATGAAGAAGATGTTTTCAGTTTAAGTGTTTGTGGTGTGATGGAGGTGTTTGATGGTTCTCTCGAAAAAATTGACCAACTATAGAGAAGGATAACTAGAGGGGACCACATGAGATATTCTAACCTTGACTTGAGATAATATATGATTGAACAAATATTTTGGCAGCATAACATTATAATTCTCAAAGTGGGTTTATAATGGGGAGACACCTCTATTTATAGATGAAGGTATCTCCAAAGTAGACCAAAATCCTAAAATGTTATCTTATACCAAATCCTAAAAATCTTATCTTTGTGTAGGAGAGCTTGAAATGAGGCACTCTAACTTTTAGAAAAAGTCTCCACTTCTAGAGTGTCATGTGGAAAGTCAATTTAACAAAAGTTCTCCACTAAGAAAATAACACATGACCACTACCTTTGTAAGAAAACTCTCCACTAAAAGCTTTCCATGTAGAAGCCACTTTAGCAAAATTTCTCCATTAGAAAAATGACATGGTTACTACCTTTGTAAGAAAACTCTCCACTAAGAGCTTGCCCTGTGAAAAGCCATTGTAGAAAAAGTTCTTCACTAGGAAAAACCTTTGTGAGAAAACTCTCCACTAAGAGCTTGTCATGTGACCAACATGTCTCATGTGGAACACCATCCACCAAGCTAGGGTAATAAAACTAATCACCAAAGATTAGCTTAAGCTAGGTGCAAATATTGTCCTACGACTTAAGCAAGATTGTTCAAAAACCCTATACAACTTGACCCTTAATAAAAGGTCTAAATACTCCTAATCTACTAAAGGTGCTTCATGATGACCTAAGAGAAAGAGCTTTGTTTCACCATGCATAGATGACTTTAGCTCTTCTTGAATGTTCATAGGCCATAGCTAGGGGGTATGCCATTAATGTTACCAATGAGATGCATTGGTGCTTTAAAGAAATTTTGATGATGATGCAAGTGAAGACTTGAAGACCTGAAGAACCTATACAGAAAATGTTAAAATCAATTTATGTAGAAATCATTTGTATATGAATCATTTTACCTTTGTAAATACTTAGAAGTTTTCTTTCTTAAGGGATTCATTGCGTAGATAATGAATTATTTGGTGTAATAATCGATTATCACGAGCCTATTTGGAAAAGAGTTGCTCGGGCAAATAATCGATTATTGCTCAGAATAATCGATTATCATTGTCTGATTTAATATTTCTCAGGTTGCGCAAATAATCGATTATCACTTATGATAATAGATTATATTTCTTTTCATTTTCTGAACCTTGGGCTATAAATAGTGTTTTCCACAGTTCTTAGAAAACAACTTTTCATTTGAGAGTATTAGAGTTGTGCCTAAGGGAAGCTCTCTGTGAGTGAAAAATAATCTATGCCATTTGAGAATACAAAAGTTTTCTGAGGAAGTTCTTAAGTGATAGTGTTGCTTAAAGTCAAGTCTTGTGAATAGGAGAAGCTCACGTTTAGTGTGTCTAAGGTCGGAGCAGTTCTCTTCAAGTTGACTGAGTAGGTTCTTCCGTTCGTTTGTCGAAAGGAATGTTCTTCTGTTCGTTTGTTGAAGGAAGGTGTTTTCTGATTTTTTTTCTTTATTCCATCTTATTATAATTGTGAAACTGATTTTAGTGAAATAGTTAATCAGTCTTTATAGTGATCAACAACTAGATGTAGAATCTTTTGATTCGAATCAGGATAAAATCTTGTGTGTGATTTCTCTTTTACTCTGCACTTGTTATCTACCAGTTGTTCGATAAAAGTTCTAAGAGAAAAACAAGATTTTTAAAAAAATCATTTTTAATTTGGCTATTGACCCTAACACGCTTTATGCTCGTTTATTAATCACTTTTATTCCATTGCGCAATAGCACTGATACCTACCATTTAATTTATCACGGTGTTTGGTCCTTCAAGCCTTTGGGCGAATTGGTGCTTTTAGTTGGTGATTGCTTCCACTTAGCTTGCTCCACATAGGTTTCTCTTTAAGACCTTCTCATGGTAGACAAATCAAATAATAATTAGATGGAATGGCAAGACTACAACTTAAGATCTTTTTACTAGAATGAAAATTAGATATTCTTAATTATTGTTTACGATGTGATGAATTTAATGCGAGGGGTAAGATTATTGAGATTCTTAATACTTCAAAACTTTAAATCTATAAATAATTGAATTATGTTTTTACCAAATACCTCAGCATTTACCTCTTCTAAACTAACTGATTGCACTAGAAGACCTTGGTTGATGGCCATTGCACACGACGAAGAATGCAACGGAATGAAAGAATGAAATGAAGGATTTGGTGTGATGTCAACTAGCTTTGCGGTGAATTGGATGTTTAGAAAAAAGGATGATCTAAGGAATGCATGGTGGTTAGAGGAGGCTTTTTCAAACTCTCTAACCGATGAGTCTCAAAGGAAGAAGTTGCTCTGGAGTTATCTCAACAAATGAACTATCAATTCTCTCAACAGTCCCTTATTCAAAAGTGGAGCATGGTATTTATAATAGCCTCACGCTTGTGCTAGCTAACTAATTGGCCTGATACAACTGTGAAAAGTGGATTTGTTGACAAGTGGCATTCCATGTGTGCTAGCTCATTTAACATGTGCAAAATGTGTGAAAAGCAACAACATCTTTTTGGAACACGTGTGACGTTGGACGCTTAGCAAAGACCGCTGAACGACATGTCATTGGGCATCCAAACAGAGCTCGCTAAGTGAACTTGAGCTTTCCAAATGAGGATTTGATGAAATGGTTAACTCTCTTTTGGTATCTCATCCTTCTTGAATCTTTCAAGTCATGCTACTAGTGATTGAACCTAAGTCATTAGTAACCATTAAAATGCTAATTAAATTCAAATGCTAAAATGAAATTGAATTTACTCCTAGTAAAAATTTGTTGATAATCATTAAAAAACTGTTAGTAAATTAAATTACTGATAACAAAAAATCTATCAATAAAATACTAACTAAAATTTTTTCCCTAACAAATAAAATATTTATCAATAATTATTGATCATCAAAATTTGTCAATGATTATCCATCAATAATTTTACCCCGACATGATTATAAATTATTCACAAATTTTGATGACAAATTTATTATAAAGTAATATTTTCACCGATAATAAAAACTACAATTTATCAATAAATATTAATATGAAAAGATTTGCTGATAATTAAGATTTTAAAATTCGTTAATAAAATTTATTTTACTGATAAATTTTGTTAGTTGTTAAAATTTTATTGATAATTCAATATTTTCTTACCGTAGAACCAAAATTCAAATTAAATAATTATTTGCCAATTGTACTCACTTCTTATAATTTTCATGTATTGTTTTTAAATGAGAAATTGCAAATACGTATGGCATCTCCACTTATGGGACAATTTCTTGCAATGATGAATGCTACATTTCCAAAATTGAAGTGGAATATAGGTTCACAAAATAATACTTTTAGAAGACAATATGATCATCTTTGTTAATTCCATCTGAAATACAAATATATCTATCATCAGACTAATAACCATTGTTTGGATTAGAATTGTATTTGGATTAGTGACATTTTAAAGGTCAAGGTGGCCATTCTGCTTGGGATAAGCTATGCTCAGAATATTATAAAGGTGGTATGGTAATTTGATATATTACAGATGCAAGAGTTATGTATTTTCCAAAAAATACTTTTTCTATTCCAATTATTCATTGGCCGTCGGTATTAATAGTAACTTCTTAGGTTAGAAATGACAGTGATTCTTTAAAAGGATTTCTTAATATTTATAAGAACTAAATAAATGATATTTATCTTCTGGTATTTTTTGTATTGAGTATTTTTATAGCTGAAGTAACTCCAAATGATAAACAACTGGAAGGAAACATCTGTTAGAGAATAGTTTTGAAATATATAATACACACGCAATATTTATTACTAATAATTAAATAAATTATTTTTTAATCATGATGATTAGATAACGAAATTGTATAAATAGCTTGAGAAAGAGAACAAATTTTATAGTAGAAATCGCTATCCTGTGTTATTACAGTCAGTAAAATGTATATCATTACAACAAAACCAAAAAGGTCTTGTGAACTGGCCATTTATTTAGTAGGCAAATAGGGTTTGATATCCCTAATGAAGTTGCTCATTAAACAATTGTCAAACTAGAATTGGGCTAGAACATATTCATCCAGTAGTCATTCTATACCGAATTTCCCTGAAATCAGTTGAACAGCTACTATGCATATCTCTAGCCACAGCACTCTATCAAAGTCAGTCAACCTTGCCCAAAATTTCCAGTAGATAAAAATCATATACAAATTTTATATGGTTGTTCAAGGACATGCACTCTCCAATTCTTGACAGATTAGGCGTTGACCATCATTCAGTAATTCTGCCATGTCCTCGTTGTAAAAGAAAGGGAAATACACTCCACAACCATGACTTTTTTATCCCAAAATTTTCACACTCTATGCCAACTTGCTGCGGCCTTTTCGCTGGATATCATGCTGGTCAGCAGTGAAATGATCAATCATAGGAACAAGCCATATAAATGAGGGAAAAAAATAAAAGTGACAGGAATGCATAATAAAGAAAGACAAACCATTGAACAGAGCGAATAATCAAGAGCAGCGATCCCACTATTATCTACAACTTCCAGTGATCAGTGTAAGTAACAATTAAGAAGTCACAGAAACAGCATCATTTGAATCCACCTTCAACTGAAATCCAGACACAAATAGACTGGTATAAACATATGTGCCAAGCAACTAAAAAAAGGACTAATTTTGCTTACCATCTTGAGATGACTCTGTAAAGAACCATGTAACATCCTTTTGAGTTTCTCACAGTGATCAACCATGTGACCCATTCTAATTAATTCCTCTAGCCTGTACAAAAGCCGCTCAATAGTTGTGTACGGGAACCAAACAGCAAACGGTCTTTTCCTTCTAATTATATCTGCTGGTCTCTGCAAAACAATATTAAATACAGAACGGACGCACTGCATAAACTTGCCAACACTATATCCGGAATATCAATATGAAAGCAGAAGTATTGCAACCCATATTAATGGGAAGCTATCACCAAGAAAAAAGAAACTCAACACTCCAAACAGCAAATGAACAGAGCCCATACCACCCAACATCAAAGAGAAGAAAAACGGGGACAACTGTTCCCAAACCTATGACATCCATAAGTAGATATGTTAAAATGAGTTCTAAACCATGAGCCAACCCGGCCGGGTCATCATCGGATCGAACCGGATTGGGTTGGAAAACTTTCAACTTTTTTAAATGTGGGTTGAATTAAACCCAAGTCACCTAACCCACGGATTAAACAGGTTCGAACCGAATTAAGAAGGATTGACCCGTAATCCACCAACAATACTAAATTATTATTTTTACCATTTTTTATAAGTTTTAATCATAATTATCTACTACTTATATAGGTTCTCAGTTTGATGTTTTTAAATACTAAATGTTATTCAATAAATATTTAAATAGTTTGGATGTTTAATTTATTTGTTTGTCATGTTATATATGTTGATATTTTAATTTTCAATTACCATCTTTATAATAATATTTGGAGAATTAGGTGAAAACTTTGATTGCACCATTATAAAAAATATAAATCAAGTCAATCCACTTTCATTCTACTACAATAAATATATAAAATAAATTATGAAAATAAAACTTTTGTATGAGTCATGGGTGAGTCAATATGTATAAGTCGAGTTGATTAAAGAGAAGAAATAATAGCTTTGGTTGTCATTAATAATAGACACCAACTTGTCATAAATCCTAAACCCCTTTACAAACTAAAAACCTAAACAAGCTAAACCACATAACAATCTATGCACTAGTTAATCAGTGATCACCACAAACTCTAACCAAGATTTTCAGCACCCACAGTAATCATTCAGGATATCCAAATGAACTGTTTCAAAATACCCATCAAGTAACAATTACACTGCAAAACAATTTTCAGCCCTGTTCAGTCCAATAGAACAACCATAGTGTCAGAAGACTCTAGGCATATGCAAAGAGACTTTCCACCTTTGAACCATGATCAACTGATCACCAAGACCCAGCCAGCTTTACCATTACACTGGGGCTTAATACAAGTATTGTGTAAAGGTAACAAATACCAGACACGGGTAAACAGAACTCTTCAAATAAATTTCTCAATTTAACTAATATTTTCAATTTCCCTGACCAAAAAGTTCTGTTCAGTAAAATATTTACAATGCAGCAGACAGACAACCCAAGACACGTTGTCCAGTGATGGAAGTAAATAATTGTCTAGATATCTGTTAGGAAGTTAAAAGTATATGAGCGGAGGAATAAAAGAAGGGAGGAGGGAAGTATAGGCCAAACGGTATCTAGAAGGGAGGAGGGAAGTATAGACCAAACGGTATCCAGAAGGGAGGAGGGAAGTAGAGGCCGAGTGGTATAAATAAACTAATACTGAACGGTAGATGAAAAGGAGGATGGGATCAAAGGCCGAACGGTATATATACGCTAGTACCGAACGGTATTTAGTAGAAGCAGATTGGGTTAGCAGAAAGGATAGGGCGCGGGAAAGTGACACTATTAATAGTCTTCTTTTATTTCTGTTCAGGGGATTATTTTTGTTGGAGTATAGACGGGGCATATTTGTCAGTGGAGGAAGGTAGGCTTTCTTGGGGGAGAGTATACTTGTATTTTCGATACTTTACTGAATCAATAATACATACATACGTACTTTCCATCCTGTTATTCGAGTGTTGAAGTGAGAAGAGAGTATCGATTAGGTTATTAGCATAAAGTAATCTAACAATATCTTATATCAATTGAGCGTACACAAAGAATCAAAGTGATCACTAATAAGAGCAAAAATTTACCATTGAGGCAAATGAGTCTATGCACTCAAGCAAAAGGTAAGTAGCATCTGCATAACGATCATAGGTAACATAAAGCTGAAACAAAGATGCAGGATTGGATTCCCTGCCAGTCATCCCCCACAACCTTTCCTTTTGACCCTCCTGTCATAAGCCACACAAACAATATCAGTAACTGTGCAGAATCCAATATTGTAGAAGCGAAGGCTGGCAGCATCATAATGGAAAAGGTATCCCTTAAATTTGTAGAGCAGAAGCAACTAAAATAGAACACGGGAAATTCAACACTTTAGATAGATTTATACATAGGAATCATATATTCGTTGAAACCCTACGGAGACCAATTTTCAAAACAAGCAGGTACTCTTGCATCAGTGATCGCCAATCGTTGACTGCAATTTTCAGTCCAGAAAATTACCTTGAACAATTGCACAAGCCAAAGAGGCAATTCAATGTTAGGATCTGCACGTAGAAGTGTCTCTGCAACAATAATTGGTAATCTACCGTGAAATTCCTTATACCTTTCCTGCAATTTAGGAGCATTTTTAAAGAAAGGGTGAACCAGGGACTCATAAAATGAAAATAAAGGCTACATAAATTGACTTAAACAACCACACACAAAAATGACAGAATTGTACACCCACTAAGAAAAACTGACAAGAAACTTGTACATGTGTAAAAATGTCTGTTATTAGGGAAAGCTACCTTCAGTAACAGTATACACAGCTGAAAGAAATTAAAATGAGCAAGGAACGCTAAATCCAATACCACATGTTTATGGAGTTTAAGTTCTTTAACCCTTTCAATGTAGGTACAAAAATAGTAGAATCCCATGACCTACCTCTAACTACGGAGACAAAACATTCATTATATTATTGGTTCTAGAAACAAATCAGAAGAATGTCAGAAAATGACACCACCAAAGCTCCAAGCATAATACTAATGTTATTCTTTTATAATATTCAACCTTGTCTAGTTTCTAAATAGCAGTAATGCTTACATAAAATTAACATTCTTCTCAACTTGATACACCAAATCACATAATCTACACTTGCATGAAAATTTTCCTTCTTGTTTCCCAGATTTTTACACAACAAAGGCTAAAAAAGGTGTCTAAATAATCAGAGGAATACCCTTAATTCATTGAATACGGCAGAATTAAAAACCAGTTATAAATAGATGAAGCGTAAAAATGCAAAAATCATGTAATGGCCAACACATTAAAACAAGCAGAAGATACTAACAAGGTAAAGCTTGAGTGTTGCCCACTGGTTGCTTCTTTCAGCTCGTGGAGTTGTGGAAACTGTAACAGGTGAACCATGGACTACCATCTCATTCTTTGATGATGCTAGTAAATGACTGCGTTCTCTGAAATAAATAAATAAAGAGTACATGATACAATCCATACTGACTGTAACAGAGTAAAAAAAATTTCTTAAAATAAGGAAATTGCCAAAACACTAAATAAACAATAATGAAACCACAAATTCTTAATTAAAGTCAGGTATTATATCTCATCAATTTAAAAATAAAAAAGGTTTGTAAAAGAATGGAAAGGAATAAGTGAACATACTCAACCCAATTGGATTCCACCTTGTCAAGGCAGCATTTCAAAGAGATAGCAGATAGCACTCTTTCCAGCTCCCTAAAGAGAAATAGCCAGACTATAAGCTCAACAATACATGCATGTGTGTGAATGTGTGTATGCATGCAACACAAGTTCAAGATGTATACCTCTTCAGTGCAGAACCCTTGAAAAATCTGAGAACGACTGTAAAGGCCATATCATATAAATTGTTTTGGACAAGAAGCTCAGCCAAGTCTGACAGAGCTCCATGTTTTCCTTCAAAATGAAAGAACGGGGATGAAAACTGAATTAAAATTCTATCAAATGAAAAATACAAAGTACTTTGAAACTTAATGACATCAGAGTTGCTCAGGAAGCAACCATATGATTCAGTGACAAAAGGCGCTTACCAGAAAATGTCCACCTCACATTTACCAGTGACAGCATATACTCTGCTGAAGTTAGGACAAATTCATTCTCAAGTTTTTCAATATCAATTGAGGACTGCCAGCCTTGAAGCTCTGCGTCGTTATCAGCTGCTGCTGTACGGTTCAAGATAATAGCATCACCAAAATAAAAAACAAAAGAGAAAAAATAAAACATTAACTAAACAAAGCTACCCAATCCCTCAACATATTAGCAAAGAGTCACTTTTAAAAAGACTATATTATATAAGAATCCTTTTCAACCCAGCATATCATTTTGTTAAAAAAATGAAGTAAAATTGGTGATATAACATCATGAATCCATAATGAAACGATAACTTATAAAACCAGCATAACTATAGTAGTTGAATTACTTACAATGTTCATCTGGGGTTCTTTTAGCTTTCTTACTTGGATAATGATCATTCACAAGAGAACTTCCCTCAACCAAGGAATCAATCCAGGCATATGCAGGATGAACAAGATGTAGTGCATTAACTGCAGCAGAGAGTGCATTCAGCCTCTCTTGCAACATCAAGGAACTGCCTACACTATCTTTCAACGCTGCTTCAGTTCTCAAACGAGCTGAATACATGTATATGTAGTTTGCCGCACGTCGCCAATTATGCCGATGCATTTGAAATGCATAAAGCAACTTGTACAAGTTTGGCTTAGCAGAAATATCTGATCGTTCAGCCTACACGTTACACGTAAATTTATGCATATTCTAGAAAACTTCAAAATTATCAACACAATTTGTTCAGAAATGGCATACCTTCCAAGCAAGCTCTTGCTCCACTTTCTCCACTAAACCAATAAGGGGAAGTTTATTGCTGCAAAGAATCTGTTGAGAAAAAAAAAACAAAAGATAGGGGGAGAAGGGTACTAAATAAAGTAAGTAAATGGAAATTTTACCTAAACAATGTGAAAGGAAAAGTATAAAATATCAGGAGGGAATTATTGAATTGCACCTTCCTTTTTAACACAGAAAATGAATTAAATATTGACATATACTTGAACTATGTAAGAAAATAAAGAATTATTTTATTGATAGCAATCACACAAATTACATTCTCATCATCTCTATTTGTAATAACCAAAACCTTCAAGGAAATAAAAATATGCTGAAGTAAATAGGAAGATTATGAGATATTTTTTCCTAATTACTATGGAGATATTTAGAATCTTTTTAACCTAATAATCTGCTATTTACAACGCACATAACTCTGCAAGTTAAGGAATAACATTGCACTGTTTTTAAGTAAAAAAGTACAGGAATCATAACAAATATTGGAAATATAGCAAAATATAATTAGCATAAAATGGTAACCCATAAGCAGAGACATTCATACATTTACATACTGCATCTCTGCAAAATGTTGTAGGAGTTAAATTAAACTTGCAAACTTCAGTTAAAGACCCATTGCAATCATAACTAATTAAGATTCTTGTAATCATACTTTGAACACAATAGCACAAAAGTACTGTCGCAAAAATAGATAGTGAGATATCTATTTCATTGTATTTTAAATATTAACCTAAGGAAATCATTAAGTAGAGATCATTCAGCTAAGAAAAATCATAAGAGTTTATCATAGTTTGTCCAACCTTTATAGCTCCTTGTTCATAAAGAACAATTATGAATCGTCTCAGGCAAATGTATTTGCTCTCGTCATCTGGATTTGAAATTATTGCACAATATGCATCGTAATATCGACCAAGGTCTAAAGCAAATATGAAAACATTTGCCCATAGTCGTCCTTTGATGGTTGTCACTGATTCATTAACTGAGTTGTTTGTGCGGTTGCCATCTTTCATATATAGAGCCTCATCAACTTGTTCAAGTGCAGCAAGTGCAAACTGGCAAGCACCTTCACTAATGCTATAACGTTCAAATAACTGCATTGCCCATTGATAATATTGAAGCTTCCATGTAGCAATTGATGTACAACCACCTGCATGAAAACCACCAAAACAGAAGTTAAGATTATCCATTTGCTTACTAAAATCATTACAATTATTAAGCTACAGAAATACTCACTAAAACCAAGATACAAAATTCCTAAGTCATCCGATAAACTCTGCAGAGCCTCAGACGCACCATTTCCAGATGAAGACCTGAATTAAACACCAACGGCGATGGGTCATAGTTCAAGGCAACCACAAGTAAATATGCAGAGAACATAAAAGACAATGAAAAAAATGAAAACCAGTGTATACACATATAGAGAGAGTTACACACATGAAGACTACTATTGTTTACGAAATTTCTAAGTCGACAATAAATTCAGATCTCCTAATATTCTTCCTATTGCCTTCTCTCCTTACTCACTTTTCTTCATTTGTTTTAGTCATACATCAATTGACATTGGTGTTATTTTTGCTCAAGGTCATAAGTTGTTGGCATTGAATCTGTTTAAGCAATTTGTGCAACACATCGGAACTGAGATTTAATACTTAGGACTTTCTGTAATAGCAAGGACATAATAAGTGCTAGAATTGGTCATCTTAGATAGAATTTATTGAAAAGCTGTAGTGTGCTTTGTGCTGCACCTAGGTTCTAGATATGACATTTCTTATTCTTTTTCTCTTCCCTCTAGTTCATTGTATATGAACTTCCATTGTCATTATAAATGAGACCCTAAGAGAACGAAATCAAGCTCTTTTACATTCATCTTCAGTATAAGGAATATCAACATAGTTAAAAATGCAATATACTACCCATGAAATTGCACAGTTCTATAACTTTTGCCAAACCCAGAAATGCGACTTACACCTTAAAACACAATCTGTGAGATTTTTGCTAAAGTATAATGTATGTACTTCAACAACCTCAAGTTAGGGGAAAATAAACAATACCCCTCAACTCAGTAATCAACTTACATGCTGAAAATGTAAAATGAAAATTGCATCATTGAATTATGTATAACCACAAAATAATAAAAAGAGAAATATTTCAAAGGTCTGTTGTAATACCTAAAGAAACAGCGAATGGCATCAGAAACTTTTTTATCCTTCTGGGTTGCATGTAATCCACACTGCACCTGTGCAAGTAGGCAACACCCTAGAAGATGATGACGTATGCACCATCCACCATCAGCATCTTGAATACTATGGGATGTCTTCTCTTTTAGTAAATGTGCTTCGGCGATCATAAGCAATTGCTTTTAAAACATTTGTAAATTGAAATACAAGATATTTTCAGTAAAGGTAACTATACATTAAGAAAGAGAAAGAATCGATATCCCATGTGGGAAATAAAAGGACAAGTAAATAACCTCAGCAGGACCATACTGGCCATGCTTGAAAAGAATAAATGCAAGATCAATAGAACGGCTTAAGAAAGTAGAAGATCCTCCAGCCTGACCCCAGATAATCCAATTGATGAAGTCCCTTGCCCTATTAATAAAGCTCTGTGAATTTGAAAAGCGATCTGAAGAAAAGTGACTATGGTTTAAGGATGAACTTCCAACATTGAGCAAGAATATAAACGCCAATGTGAAATCACATCTGCCCAGGTTCACATTCAACAATCTTTTCCCCATGTTGCTATCTGTATCACGCTCAAAAAGGTCAACACAGTATCCAAAGTATGGCTTATACATACTCAATTCAGTAAGCCTCAACCGTACTTGTTACAAACTCATAATGAAAGGGGAAGAAAGAAAAAAATCAACTTTATTGCTTGAATGACAATGTCCAGAGCAAGGAGAATGATCTCTACTCCAAAGATTTTCCTTTACAACCAAGCCACAACCCCATTTACCTTTTGGTAACAAAGCTGAATTCCACTCCCTACTCTTATTTAAGCTAAACCTGTCTTTCCATCCTCTAACTGCGGACGATCTAGCATATCTAACTTATAATATTTTATGAATCTCTAGCAGCCAGAAAATATAGTTTTGACATTTCTTTTAGCCATTGAGCATAAGCTGTACTGTGCTGAATAATTTTACAGTCTACAATCTCATATATATAAATGCAATCCAAATCTCACTATTTTTAACCACTTATACCTGAGATCATGAGGTACAATACCATGAAAGCACTATAATGAGGAGCTTAGTAAAAATAATTTTTTCAATTACCCCCCGCTTCATTATTACTATAAAATATAAATCCAAGCACTTATTATCGACCAAGAAGGATTTAAGGAACTACTCTCTTTCTCAATAATTCCGTATGGCATCTTTCATACCAAGTATCTCACATTGCTTTTCTTTATTTTGCTCTCTCAAATAGTATTGCCTAATTGAGTGAATCCAAATTTGACTCCGAATTTTAAGTTTTGACATATCACATCACATTATAAGACATGGAGATGACATTCCTTGATTTAAATAGTTCTTTCCTTAATTTCCTAATTGATTTTAAATGTCTTATCCCTTTAATTTGTTCCTTCTTATACAATGGAATCTACATAATTGACAAAGAAAAACAACTTCAGTTTCATCTTCTTAGTTCTTATGTTTCATGATTTTACCAACTGTAAATGATGACATTTTTTTAGATATAACTAAATTTAAAATCCTAATGCTATGAAATAATTACTTGTTTCTTCCAGAATTCAGAAGGGGAATAATATTGTGAGCCTTCATCCCCTGACAATGATAAATCCATGCCAGCCTAACTAAATTGGAACTGCCATGATACAATGTAAGTAAAAACACACCTATTTGTAGTGATGAAAGTTTAGAATTGAAGTCCTCGGTTACAGCCAGTGAAGATGGTGTGATCGTAAAGAAGATGATGATTAGCCATTCAAAAATAATTTCTTGAAGCATTGGAACTAACTCAAGTTGTACTTTGTTTATATCATCATGGGTCAAATGGACCTGCATGAAGAGCAATCGCAACATATATGTGTGAAACAAACAAGATATTAATCTACATCTACAAAAGTGCAATAGCATCTCGTTAACAAATGCAACTCTCTGTATATGTTGAGAACTTGATCAACATGAAAGGTCAATTTATTGCGAAGAGAACATAACTATCGAATATTTACCCTATTTTAGGCTAATAACAAATATAAAATCAATTGTTGATGCTAATATCAACCGTTACTACATGTATAGGACTCTAACATATGAACAAGATTCTACACTTCCCCTCAAGCTTATGTATATAGGTAATATGTACCAAGTTTGTTACACATGTAATTAATTCAAGTACCCCTTACTCGGTGAATATATTTGCTAATTGACCACAGGACTTGAACAATGCTAGTATACACTTTACCCCATATACAATTTTGCAATTTCTATCTGATTTAATTAGACAATAATTTCAAATAAATGATGCTTACAGTAAAAAACCAATTACACTTAAGACAATAAGTATGCATACATACGTGTATGGACTCACCTGGCCACTAATGTCCACCAAATAGCTTAAAAATAGAAGAAAGTCCCAGGCAGATTCAAACATCACTTTTGCAATCTGATAAGTAGTTTGTACTACAACGGAAGAATTTATGCTTGATGATACTTCAGTATTAAAATTTTGTATTACTTTCTTCGGAACCAAAAATTTCAGGAAACACTCAATTACATTTAAAATCCTGCCCCATGCAGAAGCCTTTTTGTACAAGCTTTGAAGTGACAAAAACATATCCGCAGAAAGTTTCCTCAAACTTTTATGATCTGCCAGCTCCTTTTCCAGAACAACCATATGATTCCCAGAAGTAGATGTTTGGAACACTGGACCTGACATACAATATCCAGTTTCTAGTATCTTTACAACATAGCGAATGATATCTTCAGAAGAGATCACTGGCGTAGTTAAAAGAGATTCATAAAATATAGAAGAAGCAGTTTTGCCCAACTGTTGGCTGAAACTCATGACACATCTGACCAATTCGATTAGAATTTCACACTCTAGATCATCATCACTAATATCCATGATGCCTGTGAGCTCACTAACATCATCTGAAGAGCCTACAAAGTACAAACAAAAATCTATATTAAGGAAAGCATGTAAAAGCAGAGAACAGATTAAAATTCAAGTTAATTAACTTAAAACTATTAAGTTGAATAGAAAAGATGCAGTTCTCAACTCCATTTTCTTTGTAATTTGTTATTCTTGTTAGTGCCTAGTTTCTGGTGAAAGGCAACCATCAGTAACAGTTGAAAAGATTAGCAACAAAATAAATCACGGAATACTGCTCTAGTACCACACTGACAAGAGAGAAACCGAGAGTGAATATGAATTATGTATTGTGTGCACATGAGCATTCCTATTTATAATGAAAAAGAGGTACAATAATAGGGAACAAAGTCGATATTGAATAACGAGAAATATTTGGTAATATACCCATATTTAATATAATCAAATCATAACTATTAACATAACCAAATCATATAATATATAACATTCTCCCTAAAATTGGAGCATAAGTAATCATGAGACAAACTTGTTACAAATGTCATCCATACAAGACCTCGTGCGAGACTTAGTAAACATGTCAGCCAATTAGTTACTAAAGCTGACAACGTAAATAATGACAAAGCTAATAGATATTTCCCGGACATTTTTCTCCATCAAAATGACAATCAATCTTCAATATATTTCATCCTTTTCAAATCATATCTTAAAATACCCTATCAAGCTGGAACATACATTTCACATGAGCTGAGCTTATTGAAAATTATCAGAGGGAACAACAGCTGTTGAAGAGCATAAAATGAATCAATAACACAGAAGTTGCCAGAAATCAAAAACTGCTGCTAAGGAAGCGTGCCAGCTGCTGGAAATCAAAACACTATCAGAGTTGTGGACCCACAAGGAAAGAACGGATTTAAGTTCCCTTCATGTTAGACCATTGAAACCATGTTGAAAGGATTAGAGACAGTCAAGTCACAGGGTATGGTACTGCTCTAATAATATGGTAAGAAAGAAACTGATACGGGCCAGCAGAAAAGGCCCAAAGTCAAATAAATGTATAGAAGGAGATACAAGAGTGATGCAGCGAATCAAAACCTAGGAGGAAAGAAATAACAGAAACTGCACAGTTGGCAGCTTGGAATATGCGTCACATGCAGTTAGTTACAAGGGGGAAATGCTTATAGTAGAGAGAGGGGAAGAGAGAGGGAGGACGGTGGGCAATGGAAAGGGACTAGATTCTTGGATTTCCTTTTGTTTTTATGATATTTCATAACATAACGACAGACTTGGTCTTGAATCACGTTGATCAGACCAAATTCCATAATACAACTATTGTTTCCATTTCCTTGTGTTGATTTCATTGCTGGTTCTTATCAGAAACTAAAAAAACATATAATGAATTTTGTGTATTGTGTAGACACATGATCAATAGTTAATAATGGGAAATATTTGGTAACATATTTCACTATCAAGTCATATTATATATCTCTATTTAATGTAATGAAATCATATTTTTAACATAAACAAATAACATCTCTAACATTTACAATGAGCAAGTTAATGAATTTAAAACTATTAAGGGTTGTATTAAACAAATGTAGTTCTCAACTACATTAACTCTAGCTTGTTATTGTTGGGGATCCCACATCTAGATATATGACCAAATTAGACTATATGAGTGGAATGTAAGCCTCCCTATATCAAGCTAGTTTTGTGAAGTTAAATTAGACTTACAATCTATCTACTTACTAAGATGGCATTAAGGTTTATCTAATAAGGTTTGTTAGACCTATTGTGCCACCTACTGTTAGGTAACACTCAAGATGTCAAGTCCTCAACACGATGGGATGTGAAAAAGATCTCACATTGACTAAAAAAATGATAAAATAAAAATATATAAGTGGAGGGCAAACCTTATCTAATCACTTTTGTGAAATCGAATTAGGATTAAAGTTCAATTTTTAAGTTATTCTTGTTAGTTATATAATTCTTGCAAAAAGACATCTATCAATTACAATATGCCATCTGCCACTAATAGTTTGTAACTACCTAACTGTTGTATCAATTCTTCATTGTACCTCTCTTTCATTCAAAATAGAAAAGATTCAATTTCTTTCTCTCTTTTCTCACCTTTCCCTCTGAACAGTTTCTAAAGGCTTTCTAACAACAACCGTCTAGGGGAAAAGCCAGAAATATATTTAATAATATAAGAATTCATTGAGAGAACAGAGAGACGTAATATAATTATCATTTACCCTCCATGATCCGTTCAATATCTTCCAAAGACCGAAAAAGTGAAATGGAACTTCTTCTGATTAAACCAACAGCATCAGAAGAGGAATCAACAAGCAAACCATACAATGCATTGCTCTTGCACCAATTATGGAAATAGCGGTTGAAAAAACTTTTCCAGCAGTGCAACAAAGAGACCTTTTCAGATCCAACCTACAGCATTATCAATCTTGTCAGTTTGCCATAACTTTCCCATCCTTAAAATTAAAGAGAGAGAAATTAAGGAGATATTAAATAGATTTTATAAATATGCCAATGTTAACCTCATGTTCTATGATGGAAAGTATCTCCTTCTTTATCCCATCAGCAGTTAATGTTTGCAACTCAGGTTCACCCAAATGCCTGCTATACTCAGCTAGAGTTGCATACAAAGTAGCATTATGATGAACCCCGGGAAGAAGCAACCTTCTTAAGAAAACACAAGATACAAAAGGTAAAATATCATCCTGCAGAAAAGAAATAACTGAATCAAATTCTTCCTCTTGATTTTCTTCTTTCATCAATAAAATAAATAATTAAGTTGTTTCCTTAACCATATGAGAACTCCCAGAACAGTAACAATTTACGCTACTTAATAGAAAAGCCTTTTATTTCAGCACAGGCAGTTTGAAACTTAAATCTTTCATCTACCATTTTTTCTAACCGTCAGAAGCAATGACGGTAAGCTGCTTCTAGTAACCATTAACAGATATTGACAAAAATGCTTTTCAATGTAAATGTTACCAAGCTAGAACTAACCACTTAAATTGATACATATAGATGTCCTAAGCCATGAAAACTAAGTACGTGACAAGTAACAAGCACCAAGATCTTTTTAGGTATGCAATTACAGTATCATTAAATATGCCCAGAGAGTTTGGATACAAACCACCACCATGTTCTTAGAGTAGGAGTAATCATCTTTTTTGTAAAATTATCATTAGCAATAAGAAAACCCAGTGCACATGTATTTGAGTGTACGTAAATGCAGTGCAACCAATATGTGCAGATGCATTCAATGAACCATGAAGTACGGCTTTTTTCTGTAAATAATAGCGAAGGAATAAAAAGTCTCCAAGACCTTTGAAGATGAAAATTATACATGACCTAATACCTTTGAAGATGAAAATATTGAATGTGTGATCTGTAAAATTTCATCTGCATGATGCTCTGAACTTTGAAATAGTTGATCAGCAACAAATTCCTCCTGTAAAGCATAAGAAAATGCTTCTACCCTGACAAAACATAATATAACAGCTAAGCAAAAACAGTCAATGGATGTTTAGATTTTCGTATAATATGATTAGTTGCTCTCCCAGTCATACATCTTAATATATAGAGTTAGGAACCTTTCACACTAGTGTAAAGTGAAATTACTCTTTAGACGATTGAATAACTTAATGAATTTTTTCTTAAAGTTACAATTGATCATATTAAAAGCTACCACAACTGTATATTCCTAAATGAGTTTCCAAATAACCCAAAATTGACTACACTGCATTGCATTTGCAAGTAATATAATTTATGTACATATTGTTTTCAAATATAAGCCCTGAAAATTGACATAAACGGTAACATGACTTAATGGCTAGTTGATGTAGGACTTCCAACACACTAGTGCTGTCAAAATAGGTGGTAACTCGCGAGCCAACCCGGCTCACCACGGATTTCAGCTGGATTGGGTTTGAAAAAAATGTAATTTTTTTATGCGGGTTAGTTTTCAACCTGACTCACTTAGAACCTGGCTCACCAGGTTGAACCCGTGGTGAGCTAGGTTGGCTCACCAACCCACCTAATTTAATTATTTATTATTTTTGTGTTTCAATATTATTAGTTAGCATTTTTTTTATTATATTGTAGATGGAGATTAAAAAAGATGTTTCAAGAGGAAAAGATATTATAGATTTATCATTTCAAGACTCTAATATTATAAATGGACAAGTGATACAAAAATTATCAATATTAAAAACTTATTTGTTCACCTTTTGTGTTTGTTTTTAGATTATGCTTGGATTGTATGATTTTTTTATTTATTTTGAATTGTCTTTGAAGTTTAACATCATTTTAGAGTGAAATTTATTTAAATTTAAATTAAAAAATTATAATTTTTTCATTTTAAAAAAAACATAAAGTGAGCTAGTGGACCAATCCGTTTAACCGACCAACCCGTGGTGGGTTAGGCCGGGTTCAAATTTTTTCAACTCACTAATAACTGAGTCGTGTTACCCGTTTTGACAGCTCTACAACACACCCCCCTCACACCGAGATATATACATCTCGAGCGTGAGACTAGACATTAATGGGTGTTCCGATAACGGCCCGATGGCGGGTGGAATAATATGCCCAACAAACAACAAATATCGCTAGGATAGGCTCTAACCATAGTTTTGATACCATGTTAAGAAGTGGACTTTAAGCCTAACTAAACCCCACAAAATCGGCTTGTAAGGTGAGGTTTGCACCCACTTATATATTATAAATTGGTCTTATATCTAGTCGATGTGGGACTTCCAACAGATAACAAGAAAAAAGGTGTATCCTCAAATAATGTGACATCAGCAGACATATAATATATCTTAGTGGAAGGAGAATAACATTTATACCTTTCCGAGAATATCACAAGAAAACACACTTAATTGCTTTTGCAGAGAGTTTATCAAGGCCTGGAGAAACATTATGAACAACACAAGTACACCAAATACACGTGGGGAACATGGTATAAAGTGTCGTTTGGAAAAATGACAAAGGGAACTTTATTCTTTAGAGAAGAAGAAGGCATCCTATTGATTAGAAAACAGGCAATGAGGACTGCATCGCGCCAATGATGAACAGGAACATTAGTATTCAACTTTAGTATTCAACATCAGGAAGCATGCAATTTCAATGAGATGTCTATCTTTCTCTCTGCAATGTCATTTTGCTATGGAGTGTGGGAAGATGTTGACTGATGTAAAATTTCTTAGGAAGATAAGAATGAAGAAAATATTGCAGAACAATATTCCTTAGCATTATCACTTCTAAGGATTTTATTTGCTTCCCAAATTGGATCTTAATTTCATTGAAAAAGGACATAAATATGGACAAAAGTTAAAATCTCTCTTTCATTAAATAAACCCAAGTATATCAAGAGAATTCATCAATGAAGGTTACAAAATAACTAAAACCAAGTAAAGTAACACAACTTGGTCCCCAAATATCTTAGTGAATAATTGAAAAAGGAAAATTACATCATGTCTAAGACCTTTTAGGATAGGAAGATCTAACATTCTTTCGTAACTGACAAGACTCTCAATCTAAGACTTGAATGTTTTTAAGACTCGAAACCATCATCTTCAACTTGGACAAACTTGGGTGGCCTAAATGATCATGCAAAAGTTTGGGAAATGAAGTTGTAAAATAGGAAACTGAAGAGCTAGGTTTTAAGAAATAAAGTCCTCAAGACTCATGTCCTTCTCCAATTAGACGACTCGTACTATGTTCCTGTATAACAAAGGAATTAGCAGTAAAGGTTACAGAACAATTTAAGGAACAAGTCAATTGACTCAAAGAGATTAAATTGTAAGGCCAATGAGGAATATACAAAACAAAATTGAGCCAATTCCCTGAGATGCCACTTTGGATTCATTGGCAACGATAATGAAATGAGGAATTTTCAGAGAGGACATGAAAGAAAATGAAGGAATGTTACCACATATATGGTCTGAGGCGCCTAATTCAAGAATCCATGGACTATGACCTTCCACGGATTGAGATATACAAACAGTTGACACATTTGACATAGAGGAGGATTGGCCAAGATTAGAAGATTTTCCAGACTTGTACCTCAAAAATTCATGGTACTCTTCATTTGAAATTTTGGACTCTAGATTAGAAGATTTAGAAACTTGAGCAACTTTGTATGGATAGCCATGTAATGCATAACATTTCTCTTGGGTATGGCCTATTTTCTTACAATATGTGCATTGAGAACACATACTACGACCACCACATCCTCCTCGGCTGCTTCTGCCTCCTCCTCTTCTTTGTGGTGCTACCATAGTTGATGTTTCAATACCATCAATTGAATTCTCGTCTTTTACTAATGTAGGTACCCAAAGAAGTCGAGTAACTAAGTCGTCCATTGATGGGACTTGATCACCGACTAAAATTTGATCACGAACATGATCAAAATCTGAGTGTAGACTTCTTAGAATTAGGACCATATAAAATTTATCAAGCTTCTTGTTGATACCTTCTAAAGAATCAGCCACAAAGAAATTTTTCAACTCTTCTACAGCAGCACGAGCCTTTCCTATGTGAGTGACCATATCATGATTGGCTTGTTTGAGGGAAGTCACTCTTTGAGTTGCATCAAAGAGATGTTGCACATCATTAGCAAAGATATATTGCGCCCTTTTCCAATAAGAGGAGCACGTTTTGTAAGGTCTCAAAATTTCTAAGACCTCTTGCTCGACAGATTGCCATAGGACAGCGCATAATTGAAAATCAAGCTTCTGCCACTGAGATTTTTCCTCATCGGATATAATGGAAACATCTTGTTCAAGATGATCATGGTATCCTTGACCAAAAAACCATAACTCCACGGAAGAAGACCAAGATAAATAGTTTTTCCAGTTGAATTTTGCAGAAGTAATGGTAGGAGTAGTAGATAGAGAGAAATTAATTCCAGTAGAAGGGGCCATTCCAAAGCTGTGAGAAGAAAAAAGAACTTAGGGTTCCAAAACTTGAGGGAGAAAATACATTACATTTCTACATAGATCAAGAGCAGCAAGTAGAAGAGATAATGTAACCATGGCGGCAGGGAGAAGGGATGGCAGTGGCTGGAATTGTGGAGAACTAGCACTATCACTATCAATTGGCAAATATTTAGCTACATAAGAGTTCTAAATCAACTTTCTTCTTTCCTATTGAGCGGTAAAATGCTAACACCTCTAGAGATACAGTTTCAAGGTTCTTATTCTACAACTATTTCTGAAACATGATCAAATGAACAGCCAGATATTAAAAAACTGAAAAGGTTGCATACTCATCAGTATTTGTGGAGAATGTGTGTGATACTAATTCATCATCCTTCAGTATCCATATCTTCTCCAATGTTAATTTAACATCAAGGCATCTTCCCTGCAAAAAATAAAAGGACACTCACATCTGGAGCAAGGGGGAAAGTCACATTCAATTCAAGCTGAACAAATAAAAACAACAGATTACCTCCTCCAAGGGAATGTTTTGCACGGAAGACTCCATAGAAAAAACGATTTTATCTCCAATATTATACAGGATACTACATAAAGAGATCGTCTCCAAGTTTTCATCCTTCACAATAAAGCCTAAAAACTCAGTTACAAAAAGAAAGCAAAACAAACATAACAAGTCAAAGTGTAATATCAACTTTACATTAACTGAACAGTGAATGCTACAACAGATTTTACCATCTTTAACAGACAGACCAAACTTCTCTCAACAAATTTTAACAGAAGTAGGTTCCTATGAACTGTAAACATAAGAAAAACTACAATTTTTCCATTTCAGCCCAAACTTAGAATAAAAAGTAGAAGATTTAATCCAAACAGCATGAGAAAAAGAAATGAGGGAGCACGAAAGAACCATCAAATTTTGATTAATTATTTGCTTTAGAGGGAAACCTTGTGAACTAAATAACTAAACACAGCCACAATTTCTAGGCATTAGTTAAACAAATTCAGATTGGGCTATTGCAAAGCCAACTCATTTGGCTTATTAGCTGGCAATTGCATAAAAAAGCATGCATACACAATGAATATGAAATTAATGTCAATATCATTCAAGGGAAGGACAAGGGACATTTTATCACACTCCATCAAATAAATTGAAATTATAAAACAAAACAAGGGAGTAAACTGTTCCTAATTTAATATTTCATATGAAATATATTTCTATATCACCAAATTTTATTCCTATTTCACTAATTAATGCTTAAACATAACATCTTAATAGGTTACAAAAAGCAGTCCTTTCCAAGTCAAACTTAAATAATAATTATCATTGTGAAGTTATTATCACCAGACCTATACTTCAAAAGACTATTTACAGATTAATCTAAGTTAAACTATTTCGAAGGTAAGGTATTGATCACAAGAAACCAAATTGGATTCTTTCATACGCTTCAATGCTAGTGTAGGACCGTAAAGTTACTAGTTTAAACTGTTGTGAGAAATACATTTAAAATAGGAAACCTTCAATCCATATATGCATTTTTTAACCCCTATCCTTTAACAAGTCCTGCTATTATCAAACTTCAGAAACTATGAAGTTTCTTTCAAGTGCATATCCAAACAGAAGATAATCTAAACATAATCAATACTGTATAGCTGTACTTAAAAAAAAAAAATAGTAAGAAATCATAATGCCTTTAAATGCATACCAATGTGTCCCGAAATAATATTGCCAAAGGAATTATGCCGATATCTGAGTAAGATTGACCCACCCATAACCTCACAAAGGTAGCACCTGAAGAACAAACAGCAAAGTATGAGAGAACATTTTGTGAGTATATGATAGGCATAAGAATAATAACCAGGGGTGGATTGTATATGAGAGAAGGAATAAGAGAGCGAGTTTGCTGTCATCATTTAACTGTTCGACAGTTAAGGGGGGGAGGATGAGGTAGTTATAAATAAAGGGTTGGTTAGTGGGAGAGGGACTTTTGGAGTGTTAGTTGTTGACAGGTATTGACCTGTGAAGAGAGTTACGCCTATGTTCTCACTGTACAAACATTAGTTCTGTGAATATCATTCTATATTCTTTCGTCCTTTCTTGTGTTCTTGTGTGAGGAAGAGCATTCTTGATTAGGTTCCCAATTTAGGAACCTATCAATTGGTCTGACCTGCCGGATCCCAATTGGAGAGGAGAAGCTAGCGCATAATGGAGGGGAGAATGGTGGCTGTTGAAGGGCACTTGGAGGCGGTCGAGATTGCAATAGTCGAGACGAAAGCAGACACGGGGGCTCTGCGACAAGAGACGGCAGCGATACGACAGGAAATTCAAGCAACCTTGAAAGCGCTTGGAGAACGTAAATCACAATCACAAAGGCCAACATCAGGATGAGAGTCAATTGTCGGTGAATGATAATGGGGTTGGACCCAACAGCGAAAGGGGAAGAGGCAGAGAAGGTAACCAAGGAGGAATGGTCAATTGGAGGAAACGGGTCGAGTTACCCGTGTTTGAAGGGGGCGAGCCATAGGTATGGATAGGCAGAGCAGAGAAGTTTTTCGAGGTCCAAAGGGTGGTTGAGGAGGAGAAGCTACAATTGGCTTTTATTAGCATGGAGGGCTACGCCGGGAGCTGGTTCTGATTTTGGTGAGAAAAGACCAGGAACCATTCTTGGGATGGATTGAAGAGGGCTTTGGGAATACGCTTCGGGGGAGGAACACGGGGGACGGTTTATGAGAGGTTGTCGACCATAAGACAGGTGGGGCCGGTGGAGTATATTCGCGATTTCGAAGTGTTGGTTGGGCAAACAAACCAGATACCCGAGGAACAGATTATGGGTTATTTCATGTCCGGCCTACGGGAAGAGGTGGGTGATCATGTCAGACAGCATGACCCACCTGATTTGATGACTGCCATGCGAGTGGGGAGGGACGTGGAGAAGTTGTGTACGACTTCGACAGCGGGAGGAAGATGGGTGTCCAAGAATCAAGGTTCTTGGGGAAAAACGTCAGGTGCGGTGATGCGGGTGGAATCTAATCATGACACGACGGTACGAGGAGGGTCGGCTGAAAGTGTTGGGTCTGTTAGGAAAGACGCGACCCAAGGGCGAAATAACGAGAGAATCAACAGCGACGGAAGTGATCGGAATGTCCGCAATCTACCATACTCGGAGTATATCAAACGGAGAGAGGAGGGGAGATGTTTCAGGTGCGGCGGATCCTTCAGCCCCGGCCATCGCTGCCCAAAGAGGGGTCTAAGGATGCTAATTTTAGCGGAAGAGGAGGAAGAAACTGAAAGCGATATGGGAACTGAGTTGAATATCGCTAAGATGGAGTTATTGGCTCTATCAGCCGACGGACTAACGTCACCCAAGACGATGATGTTACGAGGACGAATTGGGCGACGAGAGGTACTGGTTTTTATTGATAGTGGCGCGAGCCACAACCTTATCGATCGAAGGGTGGTGGAGGAACTGAAGATGGCGGTGGTGGATACTCGACCATATATGGTGACTGGGAGACAGCCAGAAGAAGAGAATCAGTGGTTGTTGTGAGAAGGTAGCACTGGAGTTGGGGGATGCTAAGATTGTCAAACGATTTTACCTGTTCAAACTCGAGGGTGTAGAAGTGATTCTCGGGGTGGAGTGGTTGGAGAAACTGGGGGAAGTGACGATGGACTGGGGGAAGCTGACGATGGTGTATCAACAAGGAGGGAAGGAGATAACAGTGAAGGGGGACCCCACGTTGGAACGTAAAGTGGTGGGACCCAGTGCTTTGTTAAAAATTGATAAAGTAGAGGCTCGGTTCATGGTTTGGGAATTGGGCTCAATGGAGGCCCATAATGACGCACAGAGGTATTTGGGCCTCGCCAAAAAACAAAAAGAAGAAATGGAGATACTTCTGGACAAACATGACGTGCTTTTTGCAGAGCCTACGGGGCTGCCACCTAACAGAGAGATGGAGCACCACATACAGCTTCAAGAGGGGTTGATCCCGTTAACGTCCGGCCATACCAGTACCCACACGCGATGAAAGCCGAGATAGAACAGCAAGTCGCCGAGATGCTCCGGACGAGGGTGATCCGACCAGGCCACAACCCCTACTCGAGTCCGGTAATTCCGGTGAAAAAGAAGGACGGCAGCTGGCGCTTCTGCATAGACTACCGGGCACTCAACCGAGCAATGATGCCGGACAAGTTCCCCATACCGGTGATCGAGGAGTTGTTGGACGAGTTGAAGGGAGCGTCCTATTTTTCTAAAGTGGACCTGAAGGCTGGGTACCACCAGATTCGTATGAGTGAAAAGGATGTAGAGAAGACGGCGTTCAGAACGCACCAGGAGAACTACGAGTTCGTAGTGATGCTGTTCGGGCTCACCAACGCGCCGACAACGTTTCAAAGTGCAATGAACAGCCTTTTTCAGCCCTATCTACGAAAGTACGTCTTCGTATTCTTTGACGACATCCTAGTCTACAGTCGCACTTAGGAGGAACATCTCGAGCATGTCAAACGCGTTCTTTCGACTCTGCAGCGAGATCAGTGGGTGGCTAACCGGAGAAAGTGCGAATTCGGACAAACCCAAGTTAAGTACTTGGGACATGTTTCAAGCAGGGGTGTGGAGATGGATGATGAGAAGATAAAGGCCATCGTCGAATGGGAAAGGCCGAAAACGGTGAAGAGCTTTAGGGGATTTTTGGGATTAACGGGGTATTACCGGAGGTTCATCAAAGATTACGACAAGATTGCCCGACCTTTGATGGAGCTGCTGAAGATGGGAGGTTTCGCTTGGAACGAGAAGGCAGAGGAGGCGTGGAAAACACTGAAGAGGGCGATGACTACGGCCCCAGTACAGTCATTGCCAGATTTCAATCAACCTTTCCACATCGAATGTGACGCTTCGGGGCGTGGCGTGGGAGCGGTCCTGATGCAGGGGAGAAAACCGATAGCATTCTTTAGCAAGGCTTTATCCGAGGGAAAGTTAAGCAAGTCCATCTACGAAAAGGAGCTGATGGCCCTAGTGTTGGCCATTCAACATTGGAGGTCATACCTCGTAGAGCAGCGGTTTGTAATCCATACAGATAAAAAGAGCCTCCGACATTTGCTGGAACAGCGTATCACCACACAAAACCAACAGGATTGGATTGCTAAGCTGCTGGGCTACGACTTCGAGATAATCTATAAGGCGGGGGCTGCGAATAAAGCTGTGGATGCCCTATCAAGGCAGTGTGAGGGGGAAGACGAAGAGGAAAAAGAATTGGGCATGGTAGCCAGGCCCTTCTAGCAAGATTTCGGGGAGATAGTGCGGGAAGTGGAGGCGGATGAGTTTTTAAAGAGAGTAATGGAGGAAATTAGGAGAGATCCTAACACCCACCCCGCTTACACCCTGGAACACGAGAGGCTCCACCACAAAGGCAGGCTGGTGTTGTCGGCACAATCAAAGTGGATTCCCAAGTTGATAGCAGAATTCCATGTAACACAGAATGGGGGCCACTCCGGGGTGTACCGAACGTACAGGCGCATAGCCCAGTCCTTGTATTGGACCGGAATGAAGAAAGACGTGACGGAATTCGTGGCTAGATGTGTTGTGTGCCAACAACACAAATATCTCTCTTCTCCTCAGGGGCTATTGCAGCCGTTGCCAATTCCTAATGCAGTATAGGAGGAATTAAGCATGGATTTCATAGTGCGACTACCAAAATCGTAGGGGCACGATGCTATATTGGTGGTAGTGGACCGTTTGAGTAAGTACGCTCATTTCCTTCCCCTTAAGCATCCATACTCAACCAGGACTGTTGCGGAAGTATTCATCAAGGAAGTCATCCGGTTGCATGGGATTCCCCTATCCATAGTGAGTGATCGGGATCCATTATTCCTGAGCATTTTCTGGAGGGAGTTGTTCAAGGGTCAGGGGACGAAGCAGAATATGAGTACCGCTTACCATCCCGAAACAGCGGGCAAACAGAGGTCTTGAATCGGGTATTGGAAGGGTATCTAAGATGCTTTTGTTCGGAGCAGCCAAAAGGGTGGATGGCAGTCTTGCCTTGGGCGGAATACTGGTACAATACCAGTTATCAGGGAGCTACACGATGCACTCCTTTTGAGACAGTTTATGGGAGACCACCCCCCTCTTTGCACAGATTCATTCCAGGCGAAACATTGGTAGACGCCGTAAGTCAAGAGCTTTAGACACGAGATGAAGCCTTTAAACAATTGAGGTTCCATTTGGAGAGAGCACAAGAAGTGATGGTGCGTCAGGCAAATAAAAGAAGAAAACCAGAAAATGTTGAAGTTGGAGATTGGGTTTATTTGAAGATAAGACCCCATAGGCAGTCTTCAATGCCAACTAGGCTTCATTCTAAATTGGTGGCTAGATATTTTGGACCGTATCAGATCATTCAGAAGGTTAGGGAGGTGGCATACAAGCTGCAGCTGTCAGAGACCGCAAGGATACATCCCGTCTTCCACGTGTCACAGTTAAAAAAGGCTATAGGCGCACAAGGAGTGGAGAAGGAACTAACGCAGGATCTGCAAGTGGAAGGGCCATAGTTTTGGCCAATGGGCATGCTAGGCAATAGGCAGACGCAGCAAGGAGGAGAGGAAGTGCCACAGTTGCTGATAGAGTGGCAAGAGGGAGGCCCAGATGTGCAACCTGGGAGGACGAAGTGACCATCAAGGAACAATACCCCGACTTCAACCTTGGGGACAAGGTTGGACTTCAGGAGGAGGGTATTGATAGGCATAAGAATAATAAGCAGGGGTGGATTGTATATGAGAGAAGGAATAAGAGAGCGAGTTAGCTG